AGAAAACTTACACAAGCTAGTTGCATACTTTTATACTTGAATCATGCTTGGTGAAGATGAGGGAAACCCTTTTGGTATCGGTTCCTCAAACAAAACYCAAAGGCCATATCAGGAAGGAACATTTAATTTATATAATGTTGGGATTCATATTCAAACTAGGAATGGGGACGGTGATTTTGGTAAATGGCAATTTACAACATCTGTTGCACTTAGAAAGAATGGTGTCCATCATGTAGCATTTGCTAATAATGAGCTAGACCCTAATATGTCTGAACTTTAGGCTAGAGAAACAGAAACATGTGCATTTACTACTTCACAGATGGCAATGGGAGAGAATGTCATTTATGAGATTGTGTCAGTACAGGTATTTGAAGCAAGCTTGAGAATCTATATTTCAAAAAAAATATTGACTAACAAGTTGTTATTGATGCGGTCGCACCTCTTCTTCAAAATGAAGGAAGGTACAACTATTAAAGCTCATATGACAGCAATCGAAGATATATCATTATGAAGTTGAAGGCAACATATGTGCTTCTTGCTAAAGTTGAAGAAGCTCTTGCTATGATTCTGTTGCATTCTCTTCCCGAGAAATATTCTCAGTTCAATTACTGTTTTATATATAGAAGAGAAACTCTTTCTTTGTCTGATGTGAAAACATGAATGATTTCTGAATATTAAAGAATTCAGATAAATATTGATAACAATCCATGAGAGACTAATCATAGTCAAGGCCTATTTGTTGATAGAGTCCGTGATGATCAACAGTCTTCTAGAGGAAGAAATCATGGACGTTCCTAATCTCGTAAGCCGGGCTCTAGAAGGAAATCAAAGATGCGTGGTAAATGTAATTTTTGCCACAAGCCAAGTCATTGGGTCAAAGACTGTCCAAGTTAGAAGAACAATGATAAGTCAAAGGGAGAATCTTCAACACTTGCAACCGAACAGAGAAAACAGGCATCTCGGCTACGGTTACACCACTGCTTGGAGATAGGCGATGGGTGTTGGATACTGGAGCCTCTTGTCACATGATACCTTTTCGTGACTATTTCTCTACCTTCGAAAAATTGAGGGTAATAGCATTTTCATGGGAAATAGTACTTTGTGCATTACTCAAGGTGTTGGCCCTGTTCGTATCAAGATTTTTTATTTGTTCGGACATTGAATAATGTCAAATATGTTATGGACATGACTCGTTCCTTGATCTCGGTTGGACAATTGTCCAAGGTTGGTTGCAAGATTCGTATTGAAGATGGGAGCAAGCGTGTATCTCAAGGGGACTTTGTAGTAATGAAAGCTATACAGACGAAAAACAATTTGTTTCATTTGGTTGAAGAAACAGTTTCTTCAGAATCATGTGTGACGGATAATTCAAGGAATATAGATGCTACTTGTTTATGGCATATATGGTTGGGCCACACATTCGAGAAGAATTTGGAGGTCTTGCGAAAGCGAAAGCTCATTAGTGTCGACATGCCTACTTGTCTTATTTTTGTGCCAAATGTGTCAAGGGGAAATAAACTCGCGTTTCTTTTGGTGTTGGAAAGCACAACACTAAAGGGATCTTGGATTATGTTCATACGAATGTTTGGGGACCATCAAGCACATAGTCCCTAAATGGAGGTAGCTATTTTCTATCTCTTATTGATGATTTCTCATGAAAAGTTTGGGGGTTTGTTTTGAAGCACAAGTTGGATTTCTTTGATAATTTCAAGACTTTGTTAGMACACGTGGAGATTGAGACCGGAATGAAATTAAAGGTGCTTAGATCCAATAATGGTGGAGAGTTTAATGGTGGTAACTTCAAGGCATTTTGCACGGCATCCACTGTCTTTATACTCACCCAGTGATCCTGAATCTAATGGGGTCAAGGAGAGGATGAATAGAACATTTTTAGAGAAAGTTCAATGTATGTTCATGACATTGGGATTTTTTTRAATCTTTTTGGGCCGAAACTTTCCACACCGCGATGTAAATTGTCAATATGTTACCTTGTTCGTCCATTGGAGGAAAAATACCTAAAAAGATGTGGAGAGGTAAAACTAATATCTGTATAAAATACATATATGCATTTGGTTGTCCTGTTTATGTACAGGTTTCAAGTCAGGATACGTTAGATCCAAGAGCCACCAAAGGATATTTGTCTGACTATACAGATGGCATCAAAGGGCACCAAATCTGGAACCCTTTGACACGTAAAGTGATTTATTCTTGGCATGTAACATTTGATGAATCTTATATGATAAAGTCCTCTCGAGATGCCTAATCTCCCCAAGAACTAAAAGTTACTTCTATTGTTGCTCCTAGTGCCGATGATGTGGATACAATAGACATTCCTATTATTATGAGCTCATTTGCTCGAGCCAATATACTTGGATCGCCTAAAAATGTTGTAGAAGCAAAGGTCGTCTATTTGAAGAAAATCCTGATAGATGACAATGCTGCTAATATGTTCACAAAATCACTACCATCCGCTAAGTTTGAGCATTGTTCAAACTTGATTCAACTTTGCTTGTGTTAGTGCCATTGGGCACTTCGTTGGAGAGAACAAAAATTACCACAAATGACAAAAACGACATATTTGAAGGGATTACTTCGTTAAGTGCTTAGAGCTTTGCATGCTCTATTATGTTTTGTAGATTATGCACTTGAGGTTATTTTGTTTTGCTTGTAACTGTGAGCCATGCCGAAGCTCGTCAAGGTTGGAATGCAATTTTGCTACCTCGTGCCAATTTACTTTGCTATATAATTGTTATGATCAACTTTGGAAAGGATCGTATTCATCAGACTCGGACTTTGTTGCTATTTTTGTTATGATTTTTTTTATCACATTTGATGTTGCACAACAAACAAGACCAGGGACTACCGAGAGTTTCACCGCTAGTATAAGTCGCTTCAAAACTAGCGAAGGTCTCTGATTTTTGAGTTGAAGTCCGGAGGCTAGGCCATACCCTTTTTTCACTTCATCACCCTTTGGCCATACTTTTTCCTTTCCTTTTTGTCCTTGTTCTAATTTATATATAGAAAGGACACTTTGCTCTTTCTATCACTTGTCCAATTTGCTTCCTCCAACACTCAAGACCTCTCCTTTTAGTTTTCCTCTCAAGAGCTTATTTACCGTTTTTGGTATGTGTGTAGAGGTTGGTGTTCTTGATAGTTGAAGATTTTGGTTGATCTTGGATCTAAGGATCATTGTACAAGCACTTGTAATCTCTTTTGTAGTAATATAATACTTGCTCTTTCTATTTGGTGGATGTACACAAAAACATCAATAGTGTAACCACGTTAAATCCTTGTGTTCTTGCTTGTGATGTTGTTATATGCTTTGATCCTAGTATATTTTGGTTGTCATTTACATAGTGGGCGTTTAATCTTCTTCGAAGCATGTTATGCAAGATTTAGATTATCGTTATCCGCATTGTTGTTTGGGTTTATTGTGCATTTGGATTTCTACAAGTATTTGGGACCTTAGAAATTACTTCGTTGTTAAGTTTGATTGCACTTTTTATCCCTTACAATTCGAATTTAGCTCCAAAAAAATAGTAGTGCTGGAGCTCAAATAACTTTTTCAAAGTAGGGGTCTAGCTCGAACTCAAATATTTTTTGAATTATCAAACTCGAGCTCGATGCTCATCTAAGGGCTCGAATTTGCAATTGATTAACTCGCTTATTGGTTTAAACTCGATAACATTTATGAATATATGATATGAGCATTATTGGCTCGAAAAAGTGTCACTGATTGGCTCGGCTCGGAAAATTTAATCAAGTATCAAACATGCCAAGTCGAACATTGTTGTTATGAAACTTGGCTCGTTACTATAAACGAGCTTTATTTTGTATGCGAGATCGACTCGAGCTCGAAAATTATCAAGCTCGTTACATACGGATAAGTAGACTATTGAAGTTCATGTGCGAAAATATGGATGATAAGAAAGTCGCTACCTGCCCTTTGCAGTTTCTCCTTTTAAATCAGCAACTTGTGTAAGTGCTTTATTCCATAGATCTATTTTTTGAGCCCATTGACTTCTTTTATCTGCATTTGTCTCTCTCTCCATCCTCTCTTTATGCTTTGCCATTGCTTCTCCGAAGCTATTTTGTTGCTTCCTGACATCAGTGGGCTCGACATGATAAAAGATGGGGATAAGAATATAGCCTGGCTTCCTAAGTTGTTCAAGAATCAATACTAATTTGTCAAGACACCAGGTCGACGAAGCATAATTTTGAGACAACACAATAATAGAAGCTCGGGATGCTTTGATTGCACTCTCCAATTCCGGTTTCAAAGATAGCCCGGTTTCAATCTCTTCATCGTCCAAAAAGGTATTGATGTTAGCATTCAGAAGCGTGTTATAGAGGTGATCAGTGAAATTATAACGAGTGTCGAAACCTATAAAACTTACAAAAACATCATATCCAGGAACAAGAGTTGATGAAGAAGATGAAGGTGAAGATATTTCAGAGATAACAACCATAATTTGTATGGGAAGGTAGGAATGATTGGAGAGGAGTAGGATTTATGATTATATGATGAAAAATGGTTAAAGAAGTGTATATATAATGGAAGCCCAAGTCAAAGTCAACAAGGAAATTGTCTGGAAATTTACAAAAAACATATTTATTCCATAAAATTTAGTCTTTCGTTTGTGAAAACTTTATCTTTTTTTTTTCTACAGTTTTAAATTTACATGATGATCATTGATCCATTGTGATATGTAAAAACTATCGAATTTAATTGCCATTAACACCCGTGACGGATGCATAGCAAACCCACAAGAAGAACATCCATTGTAATTTTAAATATATTTTTTAACCTAAAATTACAAATAAACCCCCAACAATTAAAAGGCAAATCCCTACCATTTTATTTATATCTTCCATTTTATTTCATTTGAGAGAGTTACCAATTTAAGAATCAATTAAACTCTAATGTACCTAATTTCTAAGTATTAAATCATCGAAAGTCATTTTATTTGTCTTGTTTTATTTGCTATAATTATAATAATTTGATCCATCATTATTTTTTTTGTATTTTTTCCCAACTTTCTTTTTTGCATTTTATTTTTTATAGATTTATAATTACTGTTATTTGTTGATTATTAATTTTATATTTCTTGATTTGATTTAAGGTTCTTGAGTTTGTTATTTTGATATAGGGTTTACTACTAGTTTATCTTTTATTTATAGCATATTGGTCTTTTGCTCTCTAATTTCTTCTAATTGAATCTAATTTCTTGCCCTCTGATTTCTTGTTATTGACTATTAATGTGTACTGTGTTCATTTGTTTTAAGTTGAACTGAAATAAAAATATATGTACAATGTCTCTGTTTATCCGAAATAGTAAAAAGTAACCAAAAAACGGAAAAAGTTATATTTATTTGATTAAACTGAACAGTTTCAGCGGACAACCGAATAACCCAAAATCGTCTTGGTTCGGATGAGTTATTCGG